AATAACTGAAATTTCTAAAATATTGTTCAGTTATTTTTCAATGTATAATATTTTCAAGTTTAAATAAAAATACTGATACACTATATACTAGGGAAAGTATGTGTACACATATGAAAAAAGGTCACAATAAAAACAAAAAACAAATAAAATGAAAGCTCATTATATATCTAGCCCTAATCAAGTTTGTTCTTTTTCCTCTATCAGTTCACCTAATGGTTGCAGATGGCATAAAATATATGCAATGTCAACTGTAATTTTAGTTTATTAATTGTGTTAACACAGAGATGGCTAACCAATGCTTAGTCACCAAGGAGTCAATTATTAGTTCTAGCTATCCCACCTGTCTATCCTTTTCCTTGATTTTTTTGAGAGATTAAAAAAATATATACATTGTTATTAGTATTTTCATATCAGTAGGATAATCATAATGTCAATAATAAAAATAATAATAATAATAATGAAAATAATAACAACAACAGTATTGATATTAACCCATTCCCGACAGGCATGTCACATACGTCCATGACATACCAACTGTGAATTTACTTGTTTAATTGTTTTTACATACAGATGGCTACACTTGTACTAAATCACCAATGAGCCAATTCTGAGTACTGCCTCTCACCCATTTGCCCTTATATTGCTATTACTAATGTTTATAACATTATAGTAATTATAACGTTTATAATAAAAATAACACCATCAATATTCATAGCACTAGTAAAAAAATACATTTTTCCACCAATCCAAGGAGAGGCCATCTATGTATAGAGACATTTCACAAAATATATAAAAAATGAGCACAGCCTTTTCCCCATTTTTCATCTATTTCCCCCAGCGGCAATGGATTAACAGAATTTGAAATCAATAAATAAGTAAAAAAGAAAATTAAGGAATGGGGATATCAAGTGAAGTTACTAGGGCTAACTAATGGACTCCTTGGTGGCCGAACACTTATGGGGCCATCTGTGTGAAAACTAAACTGGAGAGGATATGTACCCGTCGCTAAGCTGGTTTTGATCTGTTACTACACTAAACACAATAAGTTTCCTTAGATAAATGCAATTTCTTCAATGAGGCAACAGACAACATAATATACTGGCAACAGTATACAAGACTACAATTTACAAGAAGTTTACCAATTTAGACAACATCATACAGATTTTCAAATCCTATTATGGGACTTACCACGAAAGATGACACGTTCTTCTAAATTGGTAAATGTTATCCAGAAACAATTCTTATAAAAAGAGCAAAGTACATCAACAAGTAATTGTTAGTTGTTGAAAAAAATTACTGAGATTATCATGGATTAATAACTGAAATGTTTGCATGATTATAGTAATGAGTTTAATGAACTTATCTTAATTATTATACTCTAGAAAGAATATACGGCTATATCTAATAATTCAGCTTCATCAACTGTTCAACATTGATGATCATAACCACAAAGTGAACATCTGAGGAGGAAATATATATACTGTTGTAAATTCACTCTCCTTATATTTCAAAAACCAATATAATAAATAAAAAATAAATAAAGAAAGAAAGAAAAGAAAAGAAAAGAAAAAAAAAGACAAAAGATCAAATTTAGCATTCACATACACTGAATATAATAATCAAAGCCACAACCAGGAGGGCGGTTGCTCCGATCATGTACAGAATGAACTTCTTTTTCATAGCTTTATTCTTGTTGACAACGGCTTCTTGCAGCTGTTCTTTGGCTTTGGTGGCCCTCTCCTGCGCTTCAAACATGTGCGACTCTATTCTGTCGATAGTTTCTCCTTGTTGGTGCACTAACAATGCCAGGTCCTGTTGGGTAAAATTGTGTTGTGTAAATACCGGGATTGGGTTGCGTGAGACCCTGGCCAATGTTGATTGCACTATTCAGATCTCACCTGTTCTGGAGCACACTTGGAATTTCCGAAACAGGAAGATATTATGGAAAAAATATATGATAACAGGTCTTTATGCTTTTCCTTATTACAGACAAAGCATGAGTCCTATACATTTCAATATGATACAAAATAAAAGGGAAAGAAAAGAAAAACAAAACACATTCTTTCACCTGTAATGAACAGAAAAAACATTTTACTCAGATTTGAAAGCCATTTTCCAACTCACATTTCCAATCACTAATAAGATGATTGTATCAAGAATAAATAAATAAAGAAATGATAAAACAGACAAACAAATAAAGAATCCAGTAACTAAAAAGTTACCAGATAGAAAGAATACAAGTAGATACAAATTACTTCACCAAAAAAGTAAAACAATGGCTTCTTACCTGGAACAACTGACAAAGTTCTGTTATAGATTTCTCCAATTTAATGACTGTTTCATGCCTGTCCTGCAGGTCCTGCAACTGCTGCCGTGCCAACTGTGTTTCTTTGATGATATTTTGTGTGAAGATTTCTGTGGACTGCTCTAAGAGAGTTTCAAGTTCTTCCTCGTTCCTCTCATCATGGCCTGAAGGAAGAGATGAATAAAAGGAAAAAAAATTATTATGAATGATTTATATAAACTTATAACAATGTAAAAGATAAAGTGCACATATCACATTTCTTATTTAGAAGTGTATTATGAAGTAATCATACAATTATTAATATTACAAAAAAAAGTCCTACTAACAGTATCCTACTGGCACTACAACAAAAGCATATCATATCAAAATTATTATCCATTAATCTTCACCTACAACACAAAACAAACAATTACAATAATCATTCATTCATTCAAAGATCACTCAACAAATATTAACAAAATCAACAAAACCTGTACCACACCTGTCGTTATCATGAGTTCCTTGCGTACATACTGCTTATGTCGGTCATGCATGTCAATCTGCATTCCAGAGAGCTCCTCGAGCATGAAAGATAGGTGGATGGCAAGCGATAGGTGATGAGTTCTCGCGGCATGTTGCACCACCCCGCTCGAATTCTCCCGCTTTTTCTTCACCTGATAACGATACTTGAGTTGCCTTCGAGGTCTCGTGAAAACACAGCCACAACGAAGGGTGGGAAGACTTTCAAGACATTTCGAGTCAAACTAGATTCTGCTGTTTCCGTTTCGCACAGAATATGGTCTGACTTGAAATGCTGATGTTTTTTTGTACTTGTTTTCTCCCAAAGGCTGTCTTTTCATTTTTTTTTTTTTTTTTTTTTTATTGCATACTGCTGTTTTATTATATTATGCTTTTGGTTTCAACTGATCCATTCATGAAATTAAACCTCTCAGTTGGGATTAAGGCTTTGTATTCCTTCTTTTTTTTTCATTCTCTTTCCTACAGATTGACTTAACCCAATGCCAAAAGGAAAATGTAGCGTTCACTGTAGTATTGTTTGAGAAATGTCTCTACACAAGTGTTTAGCCAGTAATGATTCAATTAGTGGACCTTGTTACCTCACCTTCCTAATTTGATTGATAATGATGCTGTTACTATTATTATGGACATTATAATTATCATTATTTTATTGACATTACTAATATCAACATAAAATATAAGAAAATATTTACTAAAATCAAAGAAAAGGGTGAACAGGTGAGATAGGCATTACTAGTATTTGGCTCCTTGGTGACTAAGTACTTGTAAACCATCTATGTGTAAAGACAATTAATAAATGAAACTGTCAGTGGGTGTGGCATGTATGTACAAGCATCCCTGGAGGCATTGGATTAACTTAAAGAGATGAAAAATAATAGAAAAAATATACATGCAGTAAAATTCTATGATTCAGTAAAATAAAAGGTATCTGGATATGTAACATACACAAATAAGACTCACTAACTTAATATGGTTACATGCTGAATTCTATTCTTGCAACCAATATAAATAAATTCCTATACTGATATTTCTTTAATCAATAAAATAATCAATCCCTAAAAAAAAGATTAACAAAATAATGATATATATTCATGCAGGAAAAAAAGTATTTGCAGATATGATGTTCCATATGTAAAAAGTGCCCAGAAATCTTAATAATGGAATTAAGTCGAAGCTCTTTAAAAAGTCAACTGGTAGATAACATCTGCTCAAATTTCTGCAGCTTCAAGTCAAAATAAATGAATTCAGGCTTCTTCAAAACAACACTATCAACAATCACTTCTACAAGAGAGAGAGAGAGAGAGAGCAAGAAATGAATAAAAGAGAGAGAAAATAAACGCAAAAGTTCTCACCTCCTCCAAAGCGCCCTGGATGTGCCGCATTTCGCTCTTCAGCCTGCCAATCTTCTCCTCCACTTGCTGACGACTGTCGTGCTCGTGCAGGATCCCACGAAGGTCCTCCACACCCTTCTCAATGTCCTGGGGGAGGGGGAAGTTAACAGAAATATAATTTTACATTAAATACATACTTATATACTTATACTAATAAATACATACATGCAGATGCATACATACGTGCACATGTGTGTGTGTGTGTATATATGTGTACAAATCATACTATACAATATTATATAATATTATATATATATATATATATATATATATATATATATATATATATATATATATATATATATATATATATATGTATATGTATATGTATATATATATATATATATATATATATATATATATATATATATATATATATATATATATATGTATATGTATATGTATATGTATATATATATATATATATATATATATATATATATATATATATATATATATATATATATATATATATATATATATATATATTATATAACATGTTAAATAAAACACGCACATACACAGACTTATATATACACTGTATAATATATCTATATCTATATCTATATATCGATATATACATATATATAACCCAAATTACCTTCAGCTTTGAATACAGAGGGCCAACTTTATGCAAGAGTTCCAACAGTTGCTCTTGCTGGACCTCATCTGGCTCGATGACCAGGGTAACAGATGCAGATTCCTCGTCTCTTCGCTGAAGCTCCCCATCCTTGCGGAATTTCTCCACCCGGCTCTGAAACTCTTGCAGCAGTAGCAGTAGCAGT